GTCTAATGCAAGTTGTATTGGCACGTTAGTAAAAAGAGATACAACATCAAATGAGCAGAGGGTGTAATTCCTTTCTAATATAAAACCTGTTAAATTATTATGAAGATCGAAACTATCTCTAATGGCGAATGGAGAATTCGGTATATTATTGTAAATTATTCTGTCAAGGTAATTCTGTCAATACTTAGGAATTCTGTCAAGATATTGGACAATGAACCTAATTATTTTAAACGATTGACCTCAGAAATGATATTTATTAAATTACAAAAACAAAAGAGCTTAAACATTATGACAGACACTGAACTATTAGATAAGGCTTATTTANCGATTATCGATAATCTTTGACTACTTTTTATCACGTGACTAAATTTTGAATATCTATGACAACATATCATCTTATCTCTCAGTTCGTGTCTACACTCAATCACGACACAACGAAATAAGTAATAGACATTATTCATGCTGAAGTGTTAATTGTTATTTTGGTAAGAACGTTGCTTTATATTATTCCATTTAATTGTAATTAATGCCTTATGTACCGTTTGAAGAAAATATTTTTTTGTAAAATCATTTGTATTTTATATAGTTAGCTCATTCGACAGAAGATGACTTAAATAAAAGTCGAAACGTTTCGAGACACAGATACAGTCTTCATTATTGCACCTAAGTTCCTGCATTTGGTTCACAGAAGCCCATCACTCAACACAATTGAATTTTATAATACGAACCCGAGAAAGTCCTCAATACTCTCGCAAATTTTTATTATGTTAATTTTACTTACACAGTCACACAGACTCACACACGCTCGGACATTTATTTATTTTATTTTATTGATCTTCATATACACATATATTTATTTTAGTTTATTGATCTTTATATAGTTACATTATCTTTACACTTTGTTGTATATACTTCTTTACTTACTAACTTCTTATCTCATAATACCTTACACAAGTAAATAAACTGACTATCAGTAGCTTACTAAATACATTCGCTGTAACCTGTTAAGGTTTTAATAATAATTGTATTTTTTTCAGCGAATTAATAATGCGGTGCGTGAGGCGGTCGGTCGCGAAAAATTGAATAAACAAATAGAAAAAGCAGTCACTGAGGCGTTGACTTCATCATCAAGAACGGCGATGTCCCTACCGACCATTCCGCTGCCATACATGTTTGCCCCTTCCGGATATATATCAGCATCGCCTGCACAACAAAGTTACGTCGTGCCCGTGCCGCCTGCACAACCAGGTTACATGCCCATACCGCCTGCACCACCAGGTTACGTGCCCATCCCGTCTGCACCACCAGGTTACGTTCCCATGCCGCCTGCACCACCAGGTTATGTTCCCGCGCCGCCTGCATCATCGGGATATATGCCGTCTGCACTCCCGGGTATGTTTCACCTTATCCTGGAAGAACATATTTAAAAAAAAAAAACCACTTGATTTCACGCGTTCTTGTGTGAAAATTCATTTTATTATAAAAGGTTTAACTTTGCGATTGTTTTTTCATTTTTATTGTAATCTGATAAGTAATAGAAAATACTAAATATATATATATGTATGTATATATATATATATTTTTATAAAAGGTTTAACTGTATATATATATAGTATTTTCTTATATTTATGA